CGGGGGGTCAAAATTTATTTTTGGCCTAGGAGCACCGTTTCCGAGATATTTCAACTAAAGCAAAAAACGTCACTTGAAGTGGAAAGTGGAAACACGCACAAAACCAGAATAAACCAGTTACGCTGTCCGCAGGGCCACGTGCAGTCCGGCGCAGTCGCTGGTACTGTTAGAACATAAAGCACACATTCATTCAAAAATTATAATTATTACGTTAATTGTTAAATTTTGTATTTGTTGATTGTTGTTATTGTTTGTTATTATTGTTATAATATTTGTTGAAGTGTTTAATTTGTGTGTAAGTGTTGCAACTTTATATTGTTAATTAAAAATGGCCCAGTGTTAAAACATGGTCGAGGCAAGCCTTTGACTTCTCAAACTAAAGAAGTTTGTATGTTGTACAAATATTTCGAAAATGAGTGTAATAACAACCCGAGCAGTATTATGACTCCCACTCAATTAGTTGCTAAATCAACGGGAATTTCAATAGCACCGTCAGAAAGGTAGTACAGAAAGCAAATGTCGACCTTCAGACAGGAAGTAACATTTAAACCCTAAAAAGAAACCGAACGTAAACCACAATAGTAACGATAACTTTGACAGCAAGTTATCAGAAGAACAATTCATGACTTCCACACACAAATAAAGAAACCCACTTTGAAAACTTTGCACGCAAAAAAAAGAAGAACGATAAAAGGTGTCAGCACGTACGAAAACACGTCATGTCATTAGGTTTAATTGGAAGCAACAGAGATAACCGGAAACTTCTTATGGAAAAACACGAAATTAGATACTTGCGAATTAATTATTTGATGAAAATTGCTGAATATCGTGAACAACGCCGACCAATTGTTTACACCGACGAAACAATATACATACACACAACCCCTCGAAATCTTGGTCAGATGGAAGCACCAGGTTGAAGCAACATATACGAAAGGCAACCGCTAACATTGTTCATGCCGGTGGTATGGATGGCTTTATACCAAATGCATTGCTTATGTTTAAAGCCAACCAAAAAAGGGAGATTACCACGACAATATGAACTATGACAACTATTCAAGGTGGATTCAAACTCAATTAATACCCAACTTACAACCAAATAGGTTGTTGTTGTTGACAACGCACCATACATAACTCAATACAAAACCTGCACCGAATAGTAATTCTAGAAAACAGCAAATGATTGACTGGCTGACATTGCGAAACATTGAGCACACCACGTTGCTTAAGCCTCAATTATATGAACTGATTCTGCAAAACAAGGCGAGATTGTAGGTACAAGATAGACGAAATATTACGACAGCACGGTCATACGTGCTGCGTTACCACCATACCACCGGAGTTTAACCTATAGAAAATATATGGGGGATAGTGAAAACAAGTCGCAAAAAGAAGCGCAATGAATATGAAGGTTATAATGTCATTAGCTGAAGAAAAATGAACGCCATAACTGTAGAGGAATGGAGAAAAGTTTCGCAGCTATTGAGGAGGAAAACAAATACAGGGTAGGACGCAGCTTAGACACAATACAGAACGAACAAATTAATTTAAATAACACTGATGAAAGCGAGGATGGGGATGAGTGATATGCCTGGGGTTGATGAATTATTAGAATAAAACATTATGGCCGGAGAACACCTAATTATACACGTCTTCACTGAAGTGAAACCGGCACACGCTTGTAATATTTGGAACTGGTTATCTGCCTCATACAGTTCCATAGATTACAATGCAGTGGATACACATTTTCACGTCCGTATTAGTACGTAGGGTATGCGAGACGTACGCATTTGGTGTGCTCCAGCCACAAACGTATATTACCTTTAAAAAAATAAAAACTAAAAATAAATTGTTTTTTTTATTTGTCATAATATACAAGAAAATTTTCCAAGAATTTACCTGTAAATGCGCACATAGAAAGAAACTCCATTGGTGCATAGCCTGGGATCGAATATTTAACAAGCTGATGACATTGAATTATAATTAACTTTGAATACAAGATCCCTCATCCTCATTACCATTATATATAGTTGACCATTATTGTTCATACCTTAAAACTGATTTAATAGCAAACTCTAATATTGCTTTGATAATGGAAAACAGAGAGGAAGTGTATATCTTATCCAACGATCTAAAAGATTATGCACATGCTGTAAATTTGTAATATTTAGATTTAGTTCGTGTGTGACTAAATCTTGAATTCAATGTTATAGAAACAATATAGCGATATTGTTTCTATGCTCACACATGCAAAATCTCTCGTAATCCAAAGAAGTTTTGCTGACGTGGCACGCTTGTGGTGCGTGATTTACATTATCATTTATATACTGATTTTCATAAACAAATTGTTAAAAATTATTAAAGAAAGGAATTATTGGGTATTTTTGAGCTCATAAGCGTTTTTTGTCTGTATAACTAATATTTATTCTTATTATATATAAGTTTATATAATATTTATTATTATTATCTACATCTTATATTATTATTATTATCTACAAAAAACAGAGGCTTCAGCGTGCGACTCTCAAACCTGTAGGATTGAACCCCCTGCTAATGTGTCAAATTATCACGGAACAAATACAGAAATCTGAGGCCCATACTTAAAATATTGTAGCGCCACTGTTTTTTTATGTTACTGAGGGATAATGTATCATTATAATGGAGAATTATTCAAAAGCTTATGCTAAAAAATACTAGGTGGTTATCACATTTCTCTAATTTTTTAAGCCATCAGTTTAGGCAAGATCAGCCTTCTGCCGTGCCTGACACATACCGTTGATTTTTGTCTTCGACAACGAGCGGTCGAGCGAGTGGTTCATGCACGCATAGAAAAGTCTTACAGAACTTTTTAAAAGCATAAATATCAATACTCTTTCGTAACTATATTTTTAGTACGCATAACTTGGTGTACGTTTATTAGAAATCATTGCCAGAATATGACGTGTGTATTGTGTAAAATTTCTTAATCCTCTGTAACTTTGCCATTAGTTTTTCAAACGTTTCAATATTTTCCATACCAATCTTTTAAGCATACTAAGTTATTATTAGGTATTTTTTTTTATTTTAAATTATATAATCTGGCTTTTAAAAGAATCTCAAATTACGTAAGAGCATTCATTACTGATAAGTGAATGTCAACTGACATTTTATCAAGAAAATCTTTAAAATTGCAAATCCATTGATGTTCAATATCCATCTAGATAAGTAACGCATAAGATTTACATTTGATTGAAGTATTCTAGAACGATTAATTAATAGAATAATTTAAATTTAATTTCATAAAACTTTGTATACATTGTAACTGTAGGGAACCTTTCAAAGGATTAATCGGGGAATTCTTCAATTCATAAACACCAATACAATAAAGTTTTGCATCTCAAGCACATAAAATATCTATACAATTTTTCTAGTGTGCTACTTTCGAGCTTCCGTTTAATTTTAAATAGGCTTTTATACTAAAGTTTTCTATACTAAAATGTATTGTAACTGTGTTGTTTAACTAATCCTCGTTACAACAGTTTCTTGAAATAAATACATAGTCGGAAATTGAACCATTATGGAAATTATTGGAATCCATTATTATTGGTTACACACGTATATTTTTTGTAGTAAAGGCAGAGTAGATCGCCTTTACTTTATTTTCTCATAGTTTTGTTAGTGTTTGTGTGCCCTCGGAATAAGCCTAAAACAAATGATTCCGAAAAGATGAGTGAATTGTAATGTATAAAGAATTTTGTTCATTTTTAAGATCTAGGGTATGAAAGTAATAAGGTTCAGACAATCTCTAATAAAAACAAGCAGTTTTCCTCAATATATACTTAGATTAATTAAAAATCCTTACGTCTTATTCATAACAATTATATTATAAAGTATGTTAATAAAATCACCTTATGAAGTACAAGGACAAGTGGATTACCATGGTATATTGCTATTTATTGGTCAGACAGATTGTTAGGGTGCGTGATAATGTAAAAGTAAAATTGCAACTAAAAGACGACGCAAATACTTCGAACAAATCTAGTACGTACTAAAGAAGGGACAGGTAAAAAGTACTTATAACCGACAGAACGTGGTAAATGTCGTGAAAGTGGATAAAGCGAGAGAGCTATTAGGAATTAGAATACTTTAATAAACGTATCACTGTATTTTTATACTTTAGAAATAAAATAAAATATATATTGTGGAATATAAGATACAAGTATCACTAATTCCACGTCATTCAATTTGAATCGGTAGACATCCCTACTCATCAGCAAAGAATATAGAGGATGTAGGCCGAGAGAAAAAGCCGGCGTAAAAAACTCTCTTTCAAAATAGTAAATCATCATACAACATAATTATGGCAAACAACACTTATTTTAAAACAAATGCCGTAGAAGTTGCCTGTCTAGCACTAGTCCCAAGCCCTTTTATCAACTAGATAATCGTTAACTTTATAGAAAGCCTTTTTAGACAGCTTTTCTTTAATACATTTCTTAAATTTATTTAAAGATAGAAATAAAAGAGCCTCTAGGATTTCATTTAAGAAAAGTATCCCCTTTCCCAAAAAAGAATGACTAACTTTAGATATTGTACGGGGAAATTGCAGCCTGCGTTTGTTCCGAGTATTAACATTATAAGTATGTTTCTAATAAACTTATCACTATTTTTGTATACATACATAATATTTTCATAAATAGGTATATTGTGAGGGAAAGGTAAACTTATAAAATTTCCTTTAATTTAGTTAGTGATCTTACCGCACTAATTGCAATCATTGATATGCATAAAGTAAATTCCTTGTTACTTTGCGAATAAAACAATATAATAAACGCACAATCGAATTACCAATGTGGACGTTCCCTACTTCATAGATATATTTGATCGACAGTATCATTTGCTTCTCTTAACCCTGGCTGATATCAATGCGTTAAGATATTGCTCGTTCGATAAAATTCAGGTGATCTGAACACATCTATTATTTTAGTCATCGATCATTTCCAAGACTGATCGCAGTCACCATGAGCAGTAAGTAATTCTTTTATTAAGCTTTTACGGTATTAGAAAAATATTTACGTAATTCATTAAAACTAAACCAGTCTTTGATGAAAATGAATGTGATTAAAATGGTGGAATTACACAGATGTATTTTTTATAAATACTACTATAATGTTTTTGAAAGAACTAGGGCGGAGTCTTTTAAAGATATTTTATTTGTAAAAACGAAACTTTATGTTAATATTTTTTGAAAATACACCTGGTTATAGTCGGAAATATAGGCTGTACTGAAAAAGTATAGTAAGATATCTTCTTATAAAAACATTATTACAGTTTTGTTGTTCTCCAATACACTAGCAATTTCTCTCTAATATAAAAATAACTAGTCTACAGGAAACCATCTTTCTCAAAATTATTATTAAGGGTTCGTACAGAAATATGGAAACGTCGACACAAAATTCTATTACATATCTAATAATCAACAAAATAATTTAAAAACATCACGAGATATAATCAATGTGAATAAATGATTTTAATATACTTTAATCCATCTTAATAACACCCAAATCTGAATATTACAATTATTAACTTTGAAACTTGTGACATGTGATAATTGCGTAATTATTCATTCATAAGTTAGCTATTTAACAGTTCACGCAATTCCGTTGCTGAATATAATACGCAATCAAACTGCGTTCTATATTTCGAACAAAAGCCTAAAACACAATTAAATATTCGGTATGTCATTTATTGGATTAGTGTTGGAACGTTCGTATATACTTTCGCGCTATTATGTTTCTTTGATCATTTATTATTATATTATTAATCATACCATTATGGGTTTTTTTCATAAATTGATTACATTACTGAACTAAAGATTACATTGAAGTAGTTTTAATCTCTTTAATTGTTACATTAAATATATAATTATCTACGTCGTTGAACTTTTTTGTTGTAAAGCAAAACTTAATACATAGGTACATATTATATTCTTTTATTTGTTTTTGTTAAGTACGACATTTTTAATATCTCTATACGGAAAATAACGCAGTTGGTTTAATATAAATTCTATGATTGGAAAACTCAATACTGGTCTGATGAGATAATAATCAGCAAAAAGCGTTAATTCTTTAAAACTAGTCTAATTTAAGAAAAAATACGCATATTTTGTGTCATTAAAGGTTACGATATATTATGATAAGATTCCGAGAAGCAACAATTCAATATCTCTACATTATACAGATAAGTGATTATTTTCAAGTATTTCGTTGTGAAACAATATATCTACTTTACTTACATGACGGCATTATTTATGCATTTCATTAAATCATACAACAACATACATTCTCTACCACAGAAGGCTAATTTAACATATGTTTAAAAGGACAAGAGGAGTAAAGATAAGGGGGAGAAATAATGCAGTGTATAACATGTAAAAAACAACTAAAAAACTTTTGAAGTATATTATATACTTTAGTGACACAGAAAATTTTAATACAGTTCTTTAAATTGCAAGTTCCAACTATAGGTAGTCTCAAGTCCGGATTGTGATCTCATAATGCAGTTATTCTATAAATTGTATAACTTGAATTTTTATAACTATTTTATTAATTTTCCAGCTGCCATTAGGTTAGTTTGCTTCGCAACGGCGTTGCTCAGTGTTTCCAGCTTCTCAATACCATTGAGACAGGACCCAGAGACCCTGTGCATCGGCCAGCAGAATTTCTTGAGAATCGCAAATGTCGAAAGCTGTACTTTCTACTACCAATGCTACTCCGGCCAGTCGTACTCGATGCAGTGTCCGTTCGGTTCATGGTTCAACGAACAAGAACAGGTCAGTATTTGCTGATATTAAGTGAAAAAAAGTAGACTAGCTAAGCTAGATTAAAACATAATATTTACTTGCAGATATGTGACGAGTCTGAGGCACCAGAAGGTTGTGTGGTAGAAACAGAACCTACTCCAGAACCGGAACCAGAGGTAACTCCTGAACCAGAGGAAGAAGTTGAACAAGAACCAGAAGAACCAGAACCAGAAGAAGAACAAGAACCAGAACCAGAAGAAGAACAAGAACCAGAAGAATCAGAACCAGAAGAAGAACAAGAACCAGAACCAGAAGAAGAACAAGAACCAGAAGAAGAACAAGAACCAGAAGAAGAACAAGTGCCAGAAGAGGAACAAGAACCAGAAGAGGAACAAGAGCCAGAAGATGAACAAGAACCAGAAGACGAACCTGTCACAGAACGAGAGCCCGAGGAGGAGCCAGAACAAGACCAAGAAGAGGAAGAAGAACAAGCACCAGAAGACGAGAATGAACCAGAAGTAGAAAACCCAGAAGAGGACTCTGAAGTAGAACAAGAGTCCGAGTCTAATCAGGAGCCGGAAGAGAATGATGTAGACGACTCAGAACGACGATTTAAAACAAGGAAAACAAGGCAAGTAGACTCGGAAGACGATGGTGATGATGGGGAAGTTGACGCTGAGGAAGAGGATGATGATGATGCAAATAATGACGAGGACGATGAATCCGCACAAAAGTTCAAAATAAGAAAATTAAAGCAATTAGAAGATGATGATGAAAACTCTCCTATAGATGAAAATGAAGACGACGACAATGAAGAAGACGAGAACGTAGATGATCAGTCAGATGATGATGAAAATGACGATGAGGATTCTGACGAATCTGTACGAAAATTTAAAACAAGAAAACTGAAACAGTTAGAAACTGATGATGAGGAATTGGAGCAGTCAGATGACGATGAAAATGAAGAATCGGAGAACAATATGGAAAGAGGTAGAGAACACAACCACAACCATGGTCAACACCATGAACATAATCATGAACACGATCATGAACACAATCATGAACACAATCATGAACACGATCATGAACACAATCATGGACACGATCATGAACACAATCATGGTCATCACGATCATAATCACGACGAGTCCGAGGGATCGGGCAGTGAAGAAAGCGAGGAACTAGTGGATGTTATTCCACAAGGAATCCCCCTTCAGGAGGACGTTGAAAAAGATGATGAAACTGATACACGAAGATTGAAGCGGTCTTTCCAAGTGATTGACAGTGAGGAATTAGAAGAATCTATTGAACAAGATGTTGCTGCTCAAAACATCTTCTATAGATGGCTCGGCGCTATTAACTAGATGTTTTTTTTCAAAAGCATATTGAGTGCTATCTAAAACGTAGTGTTGAATAAGTTAGTTATAGTATCACTTTGTGCAATTTTGTAAATATGACGTGTGTACAATAAATTATTATGCGTTACTGTTTAATTACGATTGGCTTTTAATTCATGGAATTTATCACATTAATGGGTTTCCTTATTTTTCCAATATTACGTCATCTTGATCTTTATAATTACTGTTAGACGCTTAGGTCAATATACCTTATATAGAAACGTTTAGTGAAAGCTAAATGAAAAAAAAGAAATCTTGTTCCATTATAACATGTGATTTGTAATACTTACTCTTTCTTATTTGAAGTCAACTATTCGTGTATCAGAGTCCAGAGATCAGCAAAATCCATATGTGATGTATCATAAGAACCCATTAAGATTCTTCTTCGTATAAAGGCGTTTAATAATAAAAAAATCGCATTAAATTTTAGCATTTATTACAATGATGATTCTGGGGAAGAACAAAAATTTAGATCAAGAAAACTAAAGCAATTAGAAACCGAAGAGGCTGAGGAAGATGATGAAGATTACGTCATTGATGACTTGGTAGATGATCTGAAGAAGAAGCAATTAGATTCTGCCGATCAGGACGAGGAAGATGATTTGAATAATGAAGAAGGCAAAGAATCCAAAAAACTGAAACAGTTAGAGGTAGAAGAAGGAGACGAGCAGTCTAATGAAGATGAAGAGACGGATGATTCTAATGATGATGAGGAACCCATTAAGATTCTTCTTCGTATAAAGGCGTTTAATAATAAAAAAAATCGCATTAAATTTTAGCATTTATTACATTATTATACAAAATAAATCTCAATACAATAATAAGTAACACAACCAAAGCAAATTAAACCTTTTGAGAAATACATTGTCACAGTGCTGGCCGTAAATGCATTCGATAATTAATAAGTACGTTAACAGAATCTCTACAGTGAATTTGACGAAGTATTTTTTTAGTTTATTTTTTTGGTTCAATTATATGAAATATTGGTTTGCCGCGAGCCACCAAACACACTAAGATTTGTCATACGTTTTACTTTGCCAAACTCACAGTGGACAGTTAAAAATGGATCATATTCGTCGGCGTTCACCGCTCGGATACAAAATGGAAAGTTAGTACTAAATTATAAAAATAAATATTTCTCGCTAAACTTGCAAGCGGGCCTAAAGACAAATCAATCGAAATATTCGATTGTAAAGAACTGTCGCAGGGCATTTTGTGTCAGTACTATGTCTACGTTGGTGATATCAAGTCTATGAATTACAAACTTCAACAAATGGTCCACCTAAGGCATTGTAAAGGGTAGCTAATAATTAGATATGTGATGTATTGAATATGTACTGAAAGTTAGAACATCCGCGAAAGTTTTAGTAAAGTAGACGAAAAATTTTAAGAATCGAAAGGCAGGACTATTGTGGTTAATATAAAATTGTTTTAATTGAAATTGGAAAATAAATGTTATTGTTGTTATTTCTGCAAATATTCTAACCTCACAGCATTAAAAAACTACATCTAAGCGTATAATAAGTGTTTGTTTTCATACATACCACACCCTACGAACATTACACAATTTTTGAATAGTCCAAAAAACATTCAAAAACATGGTAATTTACAAAAAATATCACTTTTATTTGTCATATCCATACAAAACGCCGAAAACATCTAAAAAACTAAATATAATACAAAAATTATACGACTGCATTAAAATATATCGGAAACTGAGGAACATTAAAAATAAAAAATCTAATTATATACAAAATAATTGTATGGATGCGACAAACACTCAACAATTCCGTTGCAAATCCTCAAATGCGCTCGCGCCGGTTAAAATACATTTATATCACTTGAACGAATACATAGTTACATTCGGTTAGTAAAAAACGACGCTAAAATTCTTAACCGTTGCTATAAAATTTAAAGCGTGCTTAAGATTAATTGTATCAAATCCCGAGTATAAAAAGTACGAAATAGCTGCTTGTATAAAAGTATGTCGTAACGCGGTAAAACTATCCGAGTGGGTCAAAACAGACCCAGGTCTTTCTTCATGTTCGTCTGCTTCCACGCGGGGAGCGATGCGAACTCTTCTTTGGTCATTCCGAAAGCCTCCTATTGATAAATAATATATAAAATTACAATTTGTTCAGACGCTTTTATAACAAGATATATTTGTTTATTAATAAAAACGAATTCTGTCAATACTCTGATTTTTTATTCCGTAGAATTCTGACATTTCATAAGTGTGTCACACTGTCAGAATTCTACGGAATTAAAAATCAGAGTATAAGTGCACTTTGTTAACTATTCTTTCGTCACTTTCTGTCAAATCGTGTTTAATTTGTGATGAAAGAAGACAGAGTGTTTTAGTTAACGGTTCAATTAGACTGTGTTCGTTTATAAAAGGGGGATTATATTTTCGTTGCATATTAAGGAACTTTTACACACTTTTTAAACGTTCTGAGACAATACGACCTTTTTCATAAAATATTATAGTATTTTTACAAGAAGATAAAATCTACATAAATTTAATGGACAGCTTCACGAACATAATTTTTTTTAAATAGTTTTGAAAGTTAGATAACTTACCACTTGACATAACCGTGATTTTAACTCTATATACAAAACTCACCATGAAGTGTGGGGACGAAAGATGCCTTTCCAAATGGTGGGGGTCTACTAGATCCGGAAGTGGGCGTCGCTGTAGTGCGGCTAGCGGAAGTACGCAGGTACTGGCCGTCACCCGAGATAACTCCACACTTGCACTCACAGCCTCGCCTGCCTTGTACCCGCGCTATAACCCGTGCGTTATCATACAGTGCACTTATTTACAATAATATTCCTTTACTTATAAACGCCTTTTAGCGACGAGCCCATATGGTTAATAGGAAGGCAGTCACGTGACTTTACCGAGAGGTTTAAGTTTATAAGTAAAGGAGGTATCTTAATATTAAATAGCATTATAAATACTGGAGCCCAAAGAGACCAAAACCATGATACGGTGCGTTTAACTTCAAAGATTTAGCAATAATCATAAGAGAAAAAAGATATAGGTTTTTTAAGAATGAAAAGTTTCGCTTGATAGTGATTGGCCTGCGATTGACCAATCTCTGTTAAGGGACGCTATCTTTGCTGTTAAAAAGTATAGCCAGAGGGTTTAAGAAAAATTTAAAAGCAGTATTGTTTTACGTTTAATAGTAATCTTAAAAAATATATTTACCGAAATCAACAAATAAATTCACTTAATTTTAATAATTTCACTTATGATGCCTTAAAACAAGCATTAAATATGATCCATTGTTTAAATATACAATTTAATTAACGACTCTGAAATCGTATATCACTATAATAATTTCCGTAGCTGAAATCCTTCAACTAGCCCACAACTAAAACTACCCTCAACCATATAGATTTTAAACTACCCTCATCCGATAAAAACTTACCGCTATGTTAGCATCAGCGGCTTCATCGTGCTCCTCCCAGGTGTCGAAAAGCGCTGTAAAGGTATCAGGTTCGAGTCCCGCGATGACAACTTGGACGTCGGGTCTAGTCCGTCGGGAGACAGTCCAGTAGGCATCAGCTGTTCTAAGCGCGGCCGCTCTAAGCGACATCCAACGCCCTGCGAATGCTCCTACGCCTATAATGATGCGAATAATAGTTAAAAGAGAATCTTGTTTAAATAACTTTTAAATATGTTATTAAATACGCGAAGTCTTTTACGTCTGTTTCATCTAAGTTACATTTTTTTAATGAATTAACCTTGAATAAAATTTCACTTAAAAAATCGTAGTAGCAATGTTTAGCTGAGATATATATAGTGGCTACTTGGAAGAGATCGCTCGCAAGCGCTAAGGACGCCAGTTGCTCCTTTAAATTTAATGATTTCAATGCAACAGTTAATAATATAAATAAATAATTAACATATATAAGAAAGTAAATATTATAATATAGAAGTAATAATTTTAATGATAAGTTCTGCAATTACATTGCTACAATGAATACTAGTACAATTAAGTCTACAATTGGTACTTCAAAAATAACTTTATAAAATTTCGTTGAAATATAATATTATGTCTTACCATTATTTCTCTCGACCTCGATGTCTCCGTCTTCCCCTCGCGGCCACCACCCTTGCCACACCCAGACGGACTTGCCGTCGTCCAACAAGAATAAAGCTGGAATATTTAGAAATATAATATAAAAATAATAAATAATATAATATAATATAATATAATATAATATAATATAATATAATATAATATAATATAATATAATATAATATAATATAATATAATATAATATAATATAATATAATATAATATAATATAATATAATATAATATAATATAATATAATATAATATAATATAATATAATATAATATAATATAATATAATATAATATAATATAAATTAAAAGGTAGTGCTTTATATACATTTATTAACTTGGCGTAATTTAAGTAAATTATTTGGTTCAAAAATGTTATTCAGTGTTTTGTCAGCTTAATAAGATTTAATTAACATAGTAATTTTAATACAGATTCGACTATCTAAAAAAAATTCAATAAACGAAACACGTAATTGTGATAAAAGATCTAACAGGTATTTTAGTAGTTTTAAAGATATATATTCGTTCCTATGTTTATTAATTTTGTTATCATTTGAAGAATATTACTTTAAAAAAACTAACGCATGTTCATTGTAAAGAAAATAGCTTACCAGGTTGTGAAGCAGAGTACAATTCCCTCTGTTCAAACGGGAAAGAGGTGAGCAGGCTTTCATGACGTAAGGGAGACAGAACTTCGTTGGCCTCAAATTGTCCACTCAAATCCGTGAAATGGAACAACCTTGGAGTGACATCACCGCCTGCCTCCTTACCCGCACTTAACACCGAGTTATAATACTGTTTGTTGGCAACACCGAGAGCTTCCAACACCTCCTTCGGTTCCTCTCCTTCCTTGATCTCCAAGATCTTGGCACTTTGATCCCCAAAGAGGCTTTTGGAATTCCGCGAAACCAATTTATTCGCTAAATCAACAGCCACCTGCTTTGTATGCTTCAAGCTTCTCGAGCCGTGCCAAATGTAAACACACGACTTTTGCGTGTCGACTAACACTAGCGATCCCCGGCTTCTCAACTGCCGAACCGAACAGGGCACTTGGAGCAAATACGCTTCGTTGGTGACATTTCCTCTGGTGACGTACAGGCGGTATCTACTTTTGTCCGTGTCCCGTTTCCCCTGGTGTACCACCAGGTTTCCTTGGAAGAGGTTCAAGAACGCTGGCGGTTCGGTTCCCTGGGCAACTCGCACTTGCGGACCTTTTCCTTTGTCTAATTCGACGGTAAGAAGAGCAGCAGCGCCCTTTTCGTTCGATGACGCGTCTTTTCCCTGCCAGCAGAAGTAGGCGCATCGGTCTCGGCCAGTTAGATTGTGTTTCGACGGTTTTCCATTCAATTCTCGGCCGGAAACAGTGATCTGATAGTCCCATTTGATGATGTAAGAGTCGCCAGAGTAAAACTCAGCCACGTCGGCCTCGTTTTCGACGGTTTGGTAGTCGTACTCCTGTATGAGCCATTTGCAAACGGCCTGCGTTTTTATTTCGTAATGCCGCATCGACTCTTTGTCGTAGTAATGTGTTCCGCGACCGATGTGAGATCCTTCTAGAATGAGATCTGGATCTTGGTACTCGTTGGACCACATTTCCTCGGCATCACACGGAGTGATCTCGACGCCATTGGATTTATTCTCTTGAGGCTTGATTTTGATAACTCGGCTGAAGTCGGGCCAGTCGAGGAATTTTTCTTTGAAAAGAATAGTTTCCATGTGCTGAGTGACTTTGGACATTATCGCCCACTCGGGTCGAGTTTTAGAGGATTTTGATAAAGTGTTAATTTCTTTTCTTTCTCCTTGTGACTCGGCAGCGTTTAAGGGGTTAATGTGGCATTCCTCGTAGTTGTACCCGTCTTCGTACAATTCTTTAGCTAATTGTGCCGCTTGGCGTCGGCTTTCTAGGGGTACGTTTTTCCCGTACCAAATGTACATTTCTGAGCCGAAATCGAATACTAAGACTTTCGACTGATTCAACATGGCAATCTTTGGTACTTGGCCCCAATACTCCTTGATGGGCACCAGTTCATCATCCATGACTTCGTAGCACATGTTCGTTTGGACAATACAGGACTCGAAAATCTCATCTTCATCTGGATCACCTGCTTCCACCGGTTTGTACTCTTCGATGCCTTCGGTGACTCCGAGGAGGGACCAAAATTGGCTCCAATGTTTGTTTGAGAATACTTTGGTTTGTTCATCGATTTTTATGAAAGAGTTGGCGCTTTTACATCCGAGATCCTTTGTGTTAAGAATGTGGTTGGCAATATCTGTGCTTCGGTTTCTGTAAATAAAGAAGGTTCATCAGCAAATTCAATTCAAATGTTATAGATATGAATGTTAACTCGGAACAAACGCAGACTGCAATTTCGCCGTACTAATAGACTAGACTATCTAAAGTTTAGTAATTATTTTTTGGCAAAAGGGATACTCTTCTTTAATAAATCCCAGAGGCTCCTTTATCTCTGCCTTTTAATAAATTCAAGAAATGTATTAAAGAAAAGCTGTGTAAAAAGGCTTACTATAAAGTAAACGATTATCTAGTTGATAAAAGGGCCTGGGACTAGTGCTAGACAGGCTACTTGTAATCAATTTGCGATATTTGTTTTAAAATAAGTGTTGTTTGATGATTTGCGTTTTTAAAAGAGTACCGAGAGTTTTTTACGCCGGCTTTTTCTCTCGGCCTACACCCTCTGTCTTCTTTGCCGATGAGTAGGGATGCCTACAAATTCAAATTTAATGACGTGGAATAAGTGACACCTGTATATGACACCTTATGTTCCATAATATACATATTTTATTTTATTTTTTTATTTTATTATTGAACTTTTAGTTTATTTATTCATTGTGACATACATCATTACAAAATCAGAAAACAATCATAAAAAAGCAAAACAATGATACTTCGTGGGCCGGCGGCGCCAGGCCTATCCCAAGGCGCTCGATGACATCATTCATAACTTTTGTTTTGGATAAGAGGTATAAATTATAAACATTACTATACTAAAACTTGTTCTGGTCGTACTTACTTCTCAATGACATTAGCGTAGAGGCCAATGTAGAGGAAGAGCTGGTCAGACGTCACAAGAAGGAAGCAATCACCGCGGTTTACGTTTGTATGGATGGGCTCCACGAGGCGAGTCTGAAAATTAAAAAAAAATATTATTACCATTCGATATACATGAGATGAAGAAAAAGGTATAGCGGGAATTAAGTTTGGTGGCGATTTTTGTATGGATATGTTATTTGAAGCTGGGTAAGGGGGCCCAAAAAAAAAGAGAGGGGGTTTGGGGGAAGGAAAAATCAAAAAAAAAAAAAAGGGAGAGGGGGGGGGGGGGAAAAAAAAAAAAAAAAAATAAAAAAAAAAAAAAAAAAAGGGGGGGGGAGGAAAAAACCCCAAACCCCCCCCCCCCCCCCCCCCCCCCCCAACCAACCAAAAAAAAAAAAAAAAAAAAAATTTTTTTTAAAAAAAAAAAAAAAAAAAAAAAAACGGCGCCCCAAAAAAAAAAAAAAAAAAAAAAAAAAAAAAAAAAAGGACCAAAAAAAAAAAAAAAAAAACACAAAAAAAAAAAAAAAAAAAAAAAAAAAAAAAAAAAAAAAGGGGGGGGGGGGGGGGGGGGGGGGAAAAAAAAAAAAACACCACAGGGGGGGGGGGGGGGGGGGGGGAAAAAAAAAAAAAAAAAAAAAAAAAAAACCTAACAACTTACTTTAAAAGTTTAAAATATAAGCTTATAACTAACATAATAATACGGGTACAGTACCAGGCCATTTATCGCATCGTGCTTTAGAAAGAGATACTCGCTTTGCAGAGCGTAATCTCTGTCACACGAAACACTAACAGTCCGGTATCTATTAGGAGACAGACGGCGCTATACAAAGCCGAAGCTAGCCGAGTCAAAGTTAAGCTAAAGTTAAGTTACATAACTCGGGGAGGATTGCAAGAAGGTGGCGAGGATGAGAGACAAGTGGAAGAATTTGGAGAAGGCCTTCACTCCGTCAGAGGACGTGTACTAATGTTAAACATAATGACATGGACTTAATGTAATACTGATTATTTAGTACTCGAATACAGGTTTTTTAATATTTTATGTTATTTATATGCGCACGCCGGGTCTGTAAGTAATTATTTATTTACCTCTTATTCAATTTAATTTAACATATTTTTGTTTATAGAGATTATGAAACACAGCCATGGATTTAAACTAATTTATCATATAGGAAACTAATTCAAAATAAGTAAGTAATCGAAAAATTTGTGAAAATTTCAATCAAAAAAATACACACGCCGTGATATTTGGGTCTTAAGCATATTGGCTTTATTACGATGTTTTCCTTCAGTATCGAGCGTAATTAAATGCGTACATTAAGCGAATCGTCAAGTCCACTGAACAAGGTATATTCAAATAATTAATCTTATTTCCATCCTCACCTGAACTCGCCGTCTGCCCTTAACATGTAACAGCATCAAGGCTTTGATGCCTTGATTTGGAACATTTGTGGCTGAAGCACTACGTAACGCCACATTTGAGAAGTCTTCCTTACTGGCAAGAGCCGCTAGGGCTTCAGCAGCCAGCCCACAGTTTCCTGTCACTGAAATTACCAGGCTCTGTTAGAATTAACCTAACCTCTACTTCATTGATTTTTTTTTATAGGCTAGTAGGATTTCAGTCTTCTATGCCTGACTCAAGACGTCGATTTATCTGACGGATTCCTAAAGATTTCTTCCTTCATCTTTTGAGCAAGCGTTAATTGCGCACATAGAAGATACATTTACTTCAGTATCACCATAATAAAACATTTCCTTACGATGTAGACTTGTACACTGTTTTGTAATGTTACAGAAGGCAAACGGGCAGGACGAAAACGGGCAAGAGGCAGACGGGCAGGAGGCAAACGGGCAGAAGGCTCATCTGATGTTAAGTGATACCGCGCTGCCGACCTTTTTCACACGTATATATGGGTATGTTATGAATAGCAAAAACTAATTACAATATAAAATATCACCATCAGTATCAGCCATGTGAAACTTTGAGAAAGTTTTTTTTAAAGAACAAAAGACAAACGGACAAGAGGCTTATCTGATGTTAAGTTATCGTCGCCCATGGACAATCACACTGAATAAGTTTAGCAATACGTTGCCGTTAAGAGCTGGTGCACTGTAAAAGACTCAACTCTAATTGCTTGAAAAATAATTCAATGGGCAGCTGGTTTCATAGTGTTTTTATAGATTTATATAAGATTACCTTTCTCCTTAAATAGCGCGTCCCGAGTGGTGAGTGAGAGAGCACGATACTCCTGTCTCAAGTCGGTCCGAGCCGCGAGAGCCTTTAGCGGGTTACGAGACGCCACGTGACGACGTTCACGTTTCGCGCGACGGGCGTATTCGCTGGACAACCTATTAACATATTAAACATTTCGTCAAATAAAAGTCGAAATGCCAGTTTTATTTTCATACTCATGGATTGTTCAATAATTTATTTGCAAAGTCACACGAGTAACAACGACAAAAACTAGGTATTTAATTTATATAAATCTCATTCAAAAGCTATATGACAAACGAACTGAGAGGTTTCTAAGCATTGGAATATTATTTAACTTTTTATTGGACTGAAAGAAAGTCTTGCAATTTATGAAAAATATTGAGTTCTTATTCACTTACAGCTGTCTTGAAGCACTATCAATAGCATCGAGATCTATATCCAGCTGTTCAAATTGTTTCTCCTGCTGCTGTAGAGGCGCGAAGAATGCGTGAAAGGTCTCGTCATCAGCACGTGGTACGTGAACGGGACATCCTGGTTTCTCTGCGCCGGGCGATAGTTCTTCTTCTAAAACACGGAAATTACTTCTTAATGAAAACTTATATATTCTTTAAGTTGTATCACAATTAATGACTAATGCCCGTATTCCAGAACGTCAATCAAAACTTAAATGTATATAATATATTCTCAATACCTGTAAACCAGTTTTTCTGTATGAGGTTTGACATATTTGACAGCGCTTAAGTCGAGATTGTAATTTGAGATACGTTTTAGAATAGACTTAACTGACTTAAAAAAAATTAAGACATAAAAAACTCACTTTCATCCCGACTGATATTTTCGCTGACCGAATGACTTCTTTTGAAGGACTCACGGTCTGGCTTCGGTGTCTCCTTTGGCTTAGCATCAACCACTGCAGTCATAACCGCACAAGACGCAGATCGGAGAGGTCCCGATGCAAACCCATTGGTGGGAGATGTTGGTGCTTTGCGAGATCTGAAAAAGTTTTCATATAATTTAAATTTTATTAACCTCAATTTTGCCTAATCCTCAACTGTTTCATGAATGAATAAAATTAATTAATAAATAGGCGTTTTTAAATTTAATATCGCATTTGGCATCAACAAGAACAATACATAAATAAAATAGCTGTCTTAAATGAATGGTAACCATAGGTTTTAAAATGGACAACATAAGTCCCAGTGAATATATTATATGGAACTAATCCGAAGCACGAACATGCAACATTTGATAAGAATCCTTCTATCAAAAATACGCAATCGAACTGTCAAAACCTGACATGTTATCGTAGCAAAATTCACATTACCACAGTTAGTATATATACTTAGTTTAAGACAGTTGACAGCTCGTCAGCATCTGACCATCAAAATGGCGTTACAATAAACATCAATAACACATCAATTACGTAAATAAGCCGATAAAGCTCACATTACTCGATATGGGAATTTACACGAGGTCAATTTAAGGAAATACCAATTAAGACGTGACATAGTGCAACAGAACAAGTATAGTGGTTATAACATTGAGCCTTTTAAGGTGTTATTTCTCAGTTGTGACATTCCGCTTGTCATTTAAATTATTTTACACTAGGCTTATAATAATTATATATTACTGCAGCGGAATACTAGTTTATATTTAAGTTCTAAAAGTTTAATTTCTTACGTCTACAAATATTAATAGTAACGCTTTAAAAACGCAAAAACATATTTTAAACCACATTGTAACGATGACATTGTATGACAAACTTTTTGAATTAAATATTTCGAAATTTACCATAGATTAAAAATAAATATTACACTTTGTTTAGTTTAATTATAGAAGCAGAAAGATCTGACTAAAAAATAATAATAGAATCGCTGAATGATCCACATTCAAATAAGTTTATAAAACCTCTTATTGTAGAACGTCAAACTTAAATCTAGTAACAACAGCTGTCACTAGGACGCAATTGTGACTTATGACACAAATTGGAATACGGGTACAAGTTTTAAAGTTACCTGAATCTGTTAGGCGGTGGCACTGCTGGGGTAACAACAGGCGTTGAAGGAGTTGTAGCGGGCGGTGTGTTTAAGGGCGGAGGTGTGACAGGTGGCGTCACCTTGTCTCGTTCTAGCCGGCCTGCCACTGTAAACATCGTCGCATCGCTTTGTGGCACGCGTTTCCTCCATCCCTGTGGGTAGACAATCAATTAGAATACTGTTAAAAAATATTAACGTAATAATAAAAGCTACAACGATCAATCTTATATTTCAGATTCTACTCCTAAAGTATGGAAATATATTTAGGTAATTTGTCAGTAGTAAAAGTTGACAGGAAAGATGACAGGTGATAGTCTAAAGACTAAAAAGTCAAAGAAAATCTGCTAGCCTTAAAGATCATAAAAGTTTAAGATTTATTTATTTATTTCCTATTATTAGATATTTATAAATTTTAAATAAAGTATATTATATACGCTTATCATTACTTAGTTTCCAATAAAAAACTGAATCATATCAAATCGCATTCAACCACAAAGACCTGTAAAGCGACACCAAAACAGTGGGCATTTAATACATGGTCCAATATGCGGTCACTGAGTCATTGGGGTGAAGGTTCGAATTACTCACAAATGTAATATCTACTGACAAATATTTCAGAGTCAAAGACCTTAAACCGGTTAGAACCTTAAATGCTGGACAAAGGGTTAAGTACTCTAACAGCCTTTTACGTTTATCCAGACTTACGAGCTTTAAATGGGTAACAAAGTGTGTTTAGATTGAGAAAGCTTCTGAAATGTGAGCATTAAATTTGGTTTATTTTTAATAAAACGTTGACTGGAACAAATTCAATACTATAGACGTCAAACAGAGCTATTTAGATCTAACCTAACTTTCTTAGAATAAAAAAAAAATATATCGATATAAATAATACGCTGAGAGCTAATAGGCTTATAGAGAAGGAAGCAAGGTAATTTTCAGGTCAAATTTTAATTTTTGCAATAAAAAAAATAAAAAACATTGAATCGAAATTAAAATTTAATCACTAGTAATTGTTAGATGAATCCATTACTTACATTTTATTTTCTTAGCTACAATTGAAATATTTAATTGTTGTATCGTAATTTTAATATTATCTCCGTAAAATTAGCCACTGCCAATTTAAATTAAAAATAATTCACGGAAACATTTAACTAAATACAGGAACTTAAATTCACTTTCGTCCTTATTAATTAACGCTTATCTACAATTAATATTGAAATCAATACAAGGTAACGAATTCTTGATTGGCGAAGGATATTTTAAAACAGGAGACGTTATGAAACACAGGAAGGGATTGTTTGAAGGTGACGAAAGAACGTAAACGTAATACCAGTATACGCCTTGATATTTACAATTAACTGTGTTTAAGGACTTTGTAGTAACTTGTGATTAAGGCTAAGGCCAAGTCTTATGTTTTGTGGTTTGACTGCAGATCACGAGGTGTTAGGTGAGGCGAGAGTTATAATAATTCAGAAATTATTAATGGATAAATTAGTAACTTGACGATGTTCTTACACCGTTTTAGTAACGTGGTGTTAGAACTTCGAGAAGAGCAGATGAAGCTCTCGATAGAATTTACTACGGACGTATTGGAGATCCGTCCCAATGCCATTATGAAATAGAGAGTGCACAGCTGACACAGGTACATTATAATGTAATAAGTTTATAGAACTGCCTCGGCCGAATGAATCGGTTTGAAGAGCATGCAGTTATGTAACAACGTCTGTTCCTCTTACATCTATAGTCTATAATGTCGAATAAAATCCAAATCAATAGCTAGCGATCACCGCCACCAATATTAAACATACCCTTATAAATTGGTGCCTAGCAAAGAAACCGTCTCCCACTTTATATTGACAAAAGGTAGGTATGTAATGTAAGGGTTAATTTGACGTGAGAAGTCAGTCAGAGCCTGAGATAACTTTATAAGAGACACTTTAAAGCAAAGTAAACACCTGATCCTATTGCGGCTAGACAAGGGACCTTGCCCAAGTTGTGCATTTGCGCTTATTGCAAAATATGTTGACAGTATTTCACGCGCTGTTCGCAGCTTAATATTACAACATAAACAAATTGCTCATCGTAACACTAGCTAACTATCTGATAACTATAAATATTTGGATTCATACATTAAGGAAATACCATTTGCTTTAAAAAGTTTCGGATAACGTGATTTGAAAACTAAAACGTCTTTTATGGAGGATACAATTAGTGATAATGTTATCATACCCGCTGAACTTTGCACTGGAATATCTGTGAAAGGCATATTATACTATGATATGTTGAATGATGCAGCTTCTCTTTTGCGACATTAAAAATGAGAAATTAGGGAATTCGTGTATTGCTTGAAGACTAACGTTTCGTTATTAATTTATTTTTTGTTATAGCAATCAACCATGACGCCATTTTAAATTAACATAAAATGTTTTGTATCTAATAAAGATTACATCAAAATCTGTGTAGGCGTTTAACGAGTTTGATAATTATGTCCTTATAAATATAATAACAAAGAGCGCGATTCTCGAACCTGTGATCGTGCGTATAAATTAGTTGATTTTTTATGTGAGCAATTACTGCCAACCATGACAATTGCAGAAGGAAAATTTTTTTGGTCTACTGTATACTGTACTGGAATAGGCATACACCACCACAGTGTTGAGGATTGCAGGCTGCTAGGCAAAACGAAGGCTAAATCTAGTCTAGTTTAGAGATTCGTAAGCATCAAGTAAAAAAAAAAGCGCTGTAATTACAAATAATAATCGTTCTAATTGATTTTCAATAGTAGAAATCGATGTGACTATTAATAGGTTTACCTGCGCAGCGGTTTCTAATTTATTCCGTCGGTCAGCAAGGATATTCGATCCTAGTTCGTTTTCATCAATTTGAACTTTCTTCTTGTCGTCCACTGCTGAGTTAAGCGTCTCCTGTAACAATGTATATATAAAGTTAATTAGAAATAAATATAATTTATATATAATTTTTATAAAAGTAATGAAACTAAAGGGCGTATTTTTGATTATGTTTACAGCATATCTCTATAATAATAAAATAAAATTATTTCTCTTTATAATTTGGCTGTGTAGTTCAGCGAATTGTTGGTTGCAGCCCGTGGAATAAGAATAATAATTGATGCTTGACAGGTGATTATTTTCAATGGTTATGATTAAAAGCCCCTTCCTTCATATTTTGCCCTTAGCCATTACTTTCTTATTCAAGTAAAAAATGCCAACATACACCAGTAATGCGAGGTTAAATGGTTCCGATAGGTACGCAAAAGTATTGCAGCAAACAGCTATTCTAATACCAAAAATCCTTCGTCGTTCTGTATTATAAGGGTGATATCACCTTCACTATCTATACCCCGTTTCACCTACGATATCTGAATCGTAGTTTAATGATATACAGCCTATCTAAATGTTGTATTAGAATAAGTAGTTCAACTTTATAATTCGAAACGAAAAACGATATAAATGAAAAATAACTGACACCTTAAAGATATAATCAAGTATAGTTTAAACTTGACTTTAATTAATATTTGTTCAACTGTTGCACAATAACAATGTACCTCTATTTACATTACACCTACTCAGTAAATCCAGCGTTTAAAAGATTTAAATCAATAAATTATTAATTAAAACTCTCACGGAACGTTTTCTAATTATAATAAATCAAAATTAGCATGCTGATCGATTATTTTCTCTCATTTATATTAGTAATAATGAAAGTCACATTCGGCGTTGGAGATTATAACGTAGTGAAAAAGCTACGTGCTTTTTTCTATTTTATATATTAATACAGAAATACGGTACACCACCAACCACTGTGATAAAAAAAACAAAATAAAATTAGTTACGGAGAGCGCAAGAAGTGCATAACTAAATAAGATACAGTTACTTTGACAAAACTAATGGAACAAAGCAAAGCTATCACACAAAGGAAACATGAAAAAGAAGAAGAGCACATGAATCACGATAATTTCAGATCAGTTTGTACGGAAGTTAGAGATACGATGTGGACAGGTAATGCTTGTACAGTAGAGATTTAAGGGAAGATTGAGAAGGAGCTAAGCGGATAGAGACAGGAAGTGAATTCCATAGCCCCACTGCAGAGACCTTACAGGATGTATAATGTATGAAAAATATCAAGAGGAAATTGGCTCTTTATAAACCAAAATCGACGTTTGGTGGCCTACATCTAAGGCATTGTAAAGATGGTTCACGATAAAAACTCACGTACGTTTCATAATAATGACATGTTCGCAATAAAGCAAGATCGCTATCAACGATGACAAAACCTCTATTGTTAAACTGATCTATATTCTCAAGACATGTTATGTAAAATGAATAACTATGCACCTAGGTCTAAGAATAATCCCGGTAGACTGCGAGAGCGACCTCTGAGCCTGTTTCGCAAATTTGTAGGAACTCGAGGTGGTTTTAGTGGGTATTGCTTCTGAATAGCAGATATTCTGGTGTGGGTCGAGTCTCCTGCAACTTTCGGGGGCAGGGGATGCGCAAATGCATTTTCACCTCGGACAATAAGAAAAATAGTTCTACCAAGAAACGGAAACATCTTTTGCCAATATTTCAAATTCGTTTAAGTGACCGTTTCAAATAGTTTAGACACAAAATTTTCTATGAAATCTAGCGTCGATTGGCTTTTGTTTATAAAAATTGTGGCATTTATTACATGACATAACATAGTTTGTGTTTTTATTAAAACGCAATCATAGCCGGTATCGTCCGATCGTTAACGGCCGGCGTGGGCCGTCAGGAAACTGCGACATGAAAATTGTTTTGCTCCTTGACTCAAAATAAATTTAAGACTTCCTGGGAGAGGTCTGTATAAATCTGATTTCAAATGACTACGTGTTCTTGAGATATTTATTTATAATTTTAGCTATAGTTTAGTATAATGTAGAGCAGTGCTGGGTTAGTGGCGTAGATTCGATTCCTGGCACCATTGAACTGTTTTTTTTTCTATGAGAGCTTAGCGCGCCTAAGACCAAAAAAATTTACGGTGTGTGATAAGCCAGAAGGCTGATCACAAAAAAGTGATCACGAAGCATACATAAATCCGAGCCAGAGTCAAAACTATATAAGCCACTGATTTTGGTATAATATACACAGTCTTATACAATAATACGAGACAGTCAGAAAAATTAAATAAACTCGAAATGGACATCGGAATTTCAATGACAGGTACGTTAGTGTGTGTGTTTTTGGTTTTAAAATTAATTAATTTCGCCGTTCGGTTGCCTTCCTTTTAGTCTCTACATTACAGCGTAATCACTATTTGACATAATAAGGATAGGCTTCAGTTATAATATATATATATTTTTTTATAAAAAATTACTGTACTCACATCTTGAATGTTATCAACTGTGTCAACATCAAACTTTCTAAATACTGGCTTTAGGGCACCACCAT